GGCCTTAGGCAGGGGCTTATGTAGATGTCCTGTCTATGGCTGAGTAGCCACAGCCACTCACTCTTAGCCCTTTGGACAGTAATGGTTCTCAACATTGACCATTACCAGCCATAAGAAGCATCTTTGCATACATGGATCTGCCTAGGAAGGGGAAAAAGACAAGCTCTCCTGAGTAAATTGGGAGTGTGGGGGGTAGGGGGGAGGGTGGAAGGGGAAGAAAACGGTTAGTTGAGGGAAGAGACAGCCGAAGACTGGGTAAAATCTTTGCCAGATACACATCTGACAGAGGCTTAATGTCTAGAATCTACAAAGAATTTTAAAAAATAAACTAAACACAAAGAAAACAGCCCTATTAATAAATGAGTGATGGAACCCAATAGAGAGTCCTTAAAAGACAAAATACAGATGGTGGTTAACACTTTAAAAAGTGTTCAGCATCCCTAGAAATCAGAAAATACAGATTAAAACCACTTTAAGAGCCCATCTAACCTCAATCTGAATGGCCAGGAAACACAATGATAACAAATGCTGGCATGGATGTAGGGAGCCCTTCCACACTATTAGTGGGGGTGCAAACTGGTGCAGCCACTCTGGAAATCAGTGGAGGGCAGTGGTTGTCAGCCCATGAGTCACGACTCCTGTGGGATCAAAGGTCATTTTCACAGGGGTCGCCTAAGACCATCAGAAAACACAGATATTTACATTGCAATTCATATCAGTAGCAAAATTACAGTTATGAAGTAGCAATGAACTAATTTTATGGTTGGGAGCCACCACCACATGAGGAGCCATGTTAAAGGGTGGCAGTGTTGGGAAGGTTGAGAAACATTGGGGTAGAGGTTTTCCAAAACGCTAGACACAGGTCTTCTCCTGTATGACTTGGCTAGGCCACTTCACTCCCAGGCATGAACACAAAAGGATTATATATCCTGCTACAGATGTATTTGTACCTCCATGTTCTTTGAGGCTCAATTCACAATTTCTAAGAGGTGGAGACAACCTGGAGGTCTATCAACTGACAAATAGATATATGGTCCCTATACAAAGAAAAGTGAAACCTGCATGTAAATGGATGAAACTAGAAAAAAAGAAAAGTTATACTGAGTTAGGTCACCCAGGCTCCCAAAGACAGAAGCGGCGTGTCCTTTCCCATATGTGAGTCCTAGTTTCAGAGATTGTGTGTTTAACACTGAGTACACATGGAAGCCAGGACACTAGGAATGGGCTGTTCTAGGGGAGGGGCGTTTTAGGAGGGGGATAGGAGACTATAGATGAAGTGAAACTAGAAAATGGGCATAGCAGGGGCAGAGGAGTGAAGCAGGTAGTGGGGTGATGGGGATGAGAAATGAGGAGTCAGGGGAAGGCTTAACCCAAAGGAAGTATGCATGAAAAAGCTGTGGGAACTTCTAATCTTAGACTCCATGGACAACGTAATTTTGCTACCAGCATTTGGTATTTTTCCTTTACATTTTATATATCTGCATGCATGTGTGTAGACACATGCGTGATGGCTTCTGTTCATAGGCCAGACCTGCAGGGGTCAGCTTTCTCCTTCCACCATGTGGGCCCCAGGGGCTGAGCCCAGGTAACACCATTGAACAATCTTTTTGTTCTGATTTGGCTGAGGACCCTGCCTTTTGGGTTATATTTTTGAAAGAGCAAATAGAATGAGAGAGGTCAGATTGAGAGGCACCTGGGAAATGTCATGTGACTGAGCACTGATGGCCTTGGTCCCTACTGTCACCAGCCTTCTCCCCTGCTATCACTGGCCTTCCTCCCTGCTGTCACCCGCCTTCCCCCTACTGTTACTGGTCTTCCTCCCTACTGGTACAAAAAGATGGAATATATTATAGACTATATTATAGACATGACACTGTAACTAGAAAGTTGCTGGACACTTTCCAGGAAGAAGGGTGAATCATAAAAACTAAAAAGGATGCTTATTGTCTTGACATTGAAAACATTTGTCTAAGACTCTCAGGGTAAAAATCAGGAAGTCACCTTGACCAGCATAAGAATTAAATTTCCCAGTGGGAAAGTCAGTACCTGCACACAAACTCTTAGCTCTAAAACAAGTTTACATAATGAACTGTAAAGCCTTTTCTTTAAGTATTTTTAAACTTCGGTTGCTTAACAGGAATCACTGGGTGCCACAGTTTTTGACTCTTTTTGACTGTTCATTTTTGTGTCTCTTGACTCATGCAGGACTAAACCCCAGAATCTAGTCAATACCAACAGAGGACGCAGTGGCCAGGGATGAATGATCTCTCTCTCTCTCTGAATTTTCAGTCACTTAAAAGATGATCAAAGTTTGTTTTGAGAGCCTATTGGAAATTTCCTTCTCTACATTCAGTAAAACTTTGGGAAATGAGTTTTTTAGGTTGCCTGTCATTTTAATAGGCTGCTCTATGAGTTAGGCCTGTCAGAGATACTTATATTAAAAAATCCAACTTTTTTGTTGTTGCTGTTGTTCCCCAAAACAAAATGGTTCTGTTCACAGATCGACTTTTTTTAATTTATTTTAATTGTTTCTTCCTGCCAGTTGCCCAGTAGTATGCCTTCTGCTAAGAGGTGAGAGATGTGGCTTTTCCAGCAGTAAGGAGTTGGCGCCCTTTCTCCGGCGGCCGTCCATCCTAAACGTCACAGCTTCGTGTCAGACTCTCACCATTAGCGTCAATAGCCAGTTGTTGCCAACTCCTTGGCTTCTTCGTACAAACAAAGAGCCACGGTCCTGTATTCAGCCCAGGAGGCTTTTGTGCCCACTGGCTGGTTTGAGAGGTAGCTGCCAGCCTGTGCCGCAGTGCAGGGGCAGTGCCTGCCTGGCCAGTGTGTGTGGCTCGCTCTGTGGTGATGCCCACTCCAGGCCTGGTCTTCAGCACTTCAGACAGTTCGGCTCCATGGAAGGCTCCCAAGGTCTCAGATGTCTGCAGTGATCACCAGGCTTTCCTGTAGCACGCTACCAGCTTCCCATTGCCATTCTGAGACATCATTCCTGGTTTTCTCTTTCACGGGCCCTTTCCCCTGACGGCTGCCATGGCCATCACCCGTAGTAAAACCCTCAACAAACAGAAGACACAAAGACACCTAATAAGGCCTGTAGTCGAAATAGAAGGCACAGAACTTAGCATTTTTGTGTATCTTTGCTTTTAAGGTTTGTTAGTTTAAATGACTGGAAAACAAAAAAAAAAAGGGTAGTGACATGAGTCTAAGCCAGGGACGCATCTTGATTCCTTGGACATTTTGTGTCCTGGATAAGAACAGTCTCTAGCCAGGCAGTGGTGGTGCACACCTTTAATCCCAGCACTCGGGAGGCAGAGGCAGGTGGATCTCTGTGAGTTCGAGACCATCCTGGTCTACAAGAGCTAGTTCCAGGACAGTCCCCAAAGCCACAGAGAAACCCTGTCTCAAAAAACACCAAAACAAAAAAACAAACAAACAAACAAACAAAAAAACCAGTCCCTACGCAGAGCCATGCTGTTTGTGGCAGCCCTATGCAGAGATTCTCAGCCTGTGGGTCATGGCCCCCTTGGGGGGTCAAAAGACCCTTTCATGTGATTGCCTAAGACTGTCAGAAAACACAGATATTTACATTGCATTTCATAACAGTAGCAAAATAGCAGCTGTGACATAGCAGTGAAACTAATTTTATGGTTGGGAGAGGTCACCACAACATGAGAAGCTAACTGTATTAGAGGCTCACAGCATTAGGAAGGCTGAGAACCACTGCCTGGGTGGGTTGTGGGGATGGAGGCAGCTTCTTCAGGTGGGGTAGCCTGATGAACAGAAAGTGGCAGTGAGAGACTTCACAGGCCCCTGTGGGGAGAGAGGAAAGGAAGCAGGCATAGAGGTTTTGTGGGTGGCAAAGATTTCATCTTCCCAGAAGTGTGAAGAAAAAGGAGGTGGTGTGATGGTGGCAGAGTCACATGATTTTCTGTGCTAATTGATGCCTGAATGCACAAGAGAATTAATCAGTGCAATGAACGTATCATGCAGGTCGCTCCATCAAATGATTGCGAAACACAACCCCCCATTTGCTTTCAATGAGGGAAATTTTAAACTATCACCTTCCTGTTAAAAAGCAGTGTGGTTCTTAAACAATGAAGTTAACATGAGCACTTTTTATAGGCTGTGAGAACACAGACTCCTCACAGTGGATTAAACCAACCACGTCTGTCCGTGTGGGGCAGGGGGGGAACAGAGAGATAGCGATCATCTTGGGTCCATCTTCTGCTGAATTATCTTACTTTGTTGTCACATGCATTATCTCCACCCACCCACCCTTCTTCTTGAGACTTGGTGTCCCATAGTAGCCCATGCTCGCCTGCAGCTGGTGCTGGGGTTATAGTAGCTGAAACCACCATATGCAACTTAGGCTATAAACTTTTAAGCTGTTAATCGAAGACTTATTTAATTTAGTACTGTCGATATTTACAAGTTTTAAAATTTGCTTTCTATGGCTCAGGAGGCACTGCTTGTGGATCTGCAGACAAGCCCCAGTGGCAAATGTGGCTTTGTGTACACGGCAGCGAAGTGATGACCTCCGGAGGGAAGTCATGAAAACTAATTAAAGCGAGGAAGTAAGAGACAAATGATGAGGTTTCCATCAATAGTGTTAGGTCTCATATTTTTCTTCTTGATAAAAAAAAAAATTCAGTCCCACAGCCAGCAAGTCCTTATTAATGAGTTCCTATCCAACCCTGACTCCCCTCCACTGTGCAGGCAGGTAGACTCTGGGGCAATTGTGTCCCACACGTAATACTGACAATTCCCAAGCATTCTAGGCAAATCATCTGCTCTTCAAGTCACAGACTCCCTCTCTCCAAGAACAGATTATGCTGTAGCGATCAGGTAACCAGGCACCAATATGTTTCTCTCTCTCTCTCTCTCTCTCTCTCTCTCAGTGAGCTCATCACTAAACTCAGGAAAACTAGAAGATACACACTTATCAACCTTTACCTTTCCAAAAACTCACAGTACTGCTTTCCCCCTATTCCTCACAGGAAGAATTTAACGGGAAACCTGACTCCCTCTTTTTTACGGACGGCCAGAGACGGATCGACTTTGTTCTCGTGTATGAAGATGAAACTAAAAAGGAGAACAATAAAAAAGGAACAAATGAAAAGCAAATGGTAGGATCTTTTCTCTATTTTAATTGATTCTTTTTATGTTGTGCAATGAGAAAAGGTGTGTTGTTTGCACGTAAGCAGTTGAGTGAACGTGACTCGGGAGTAAGGTGGACCAAACCATCCCTTCCTTGTTTTCTCTGTCCAAGGCGTGTTAGCAGGGAATTTTGTCGGACTTGAAAGCCTGCTCAGGCTCTTCCTCAGTGGTTTCATACTGAAGGGAGATTTCCTTCTAAGGAGTTGTGTTCTCTGCTGTGTAGAGGAGATTTACACTGAGGCACACCGGGCGGGCGGCTTGCACCTGGCTGGGAGAGGAGGCTGATAATTAGGGACGAGTGCAGGAAGAGCTAGCGTTCCTTCCGTTCCGTGTGCGCTCTCTCCGCTGCCAGGGCCACATTCTGCTTGCACTTTGGTTTCATTTTGTTTCTTTTTTCTCATTTAACTCTCACCACACCTGAGCTGGGCTCTGACACCACACTGTTTGTGAATGAGAGTTGAGGTTAGAGAAGCCAGATGATCACCCAAGGCTGTGGCTGCTTCATCCTAGTCAGGGTGAAGACAAGTTCAGCTTCTCCTCTGGAGTCCCAACCTTGTGACCCTCTTATCTTCTGTCACCATCTTTTCCACTGGCAGCGGTGCTTCTTTCTCCCTCTCCTTCCCTTAGGCCTCTCAGGAAACAAAGCCATTCTTACTTTGAAAAAGTTCAAACAACAGGCCAGGACTAACTAGTGCGGCCTCCTGGATCTTATTTGTTGAAATGCAAACTGCGCATACCTCAAACTGGACAGAAGAAGTACAAAAATGGATGCTTAGATCCACTCTGGAAATCATTCCATCACTATATCTGCTCCCCTGAGAATGTGCTGTTAGGACATACACATAGCTTCTGTTGTCCTTATCCTTTATCCATAAACTATATCAATCATTAATTTTTTCATTACTGCTTATTCATTGAAAACAGGTGATGAAACCTTTTTGTAAAATGAAATGAATAACGGTCTTATTGATGTGTTTAAATTTGGAGAAAGGGTTAAGTTTAGAGTTTTGGGTTTGCCTGGTACAACATAATAAGCCCAGGATTTAGAAAATGACATTCAGATTATCACTCAGTCGCTGTCCTAGCCAGAGCAATTTGACCTATATGGGAACACTGCCCTGGGTGATAATGGTTTCATGAAAAAACAAAAAACAAAAAAAACTGCATTTATTACTTGTGCCAAAGTAAAAAGTGATATTCTCGCTCTGCACATGGTTCAGGGTTGGGGCTGTGCTGTGTAGCGTCATTCAGGAACATAGACGGGAACAGAGGCTCTGCCATATTCATTGGGCAGTTCCAGGATCAACCTGGGCATCGGCACAGAGAGCAGAGAAGATGCCGGAGCAGGGAAAGGAGGAACTCATGCATCTTCACTGCTGGGACCTGGCAGGGACTGCAGCCATCGTGCACAGGTGTGTCAGGCCGAGCTCAGCCAAGGAGGCTTCAGGCTGGAGTGGATCTGTGCCTCAGGCAAATCTCCTCGTCAATTTTGTAACTCCCCCCACAGTTAGACTTCTTTGAATTTAGATTGCATCTTACAGAAAAGGTTATCATAACTCCAGTTGGTTGAATTTTTTTTCTTATTGGTACATAAAAGATTGGCTCATCTTATGGTATCCTAGATTCAGGAAAATAGGACCTCAGCACCTCTCATGTGGTATTGTAATTAAAATAAAATAGAATAGCACACCTAGATGTTACATAAATTTCTAGTACATACAAGTCATTAATGTTGATGCTGTACCTTCTAGTTTTGCTTGGATTTGGTGTGCTCCTAAAGCAACATTCTGCTGTGAAAGGTGGGACTCTCCTGTTACCCTGCTTTCTCACTAGAAGAAAGTAGCTAGTGGACTTGACCATTTTTCCTGGATGCTATAATAGCCTGTACATCCATATTTACTCTTATCAAATAGTCACAGACCACCCCATATGCCGATAGAACGAGGTTGAGTTAAAGCAAGTTAAACAAGTTAATAAAATCCATTAAAGTATAAAGGAAGCAGCCTGGCTTTGGACAAGAGCTTTACTGCTTGGTGAAGGGGCTCTGTAGTTACTAACATTATTTTTTTTTAACATGGTCACACCTTATATGTTTTATTGAATTTACATATAACCTCCTTCTTTTTTTTTCTTTTTTTTATTATTTTTTTTTATTTTCCATTTTAAATTTAGATAAGAAACAAGGTTGCTTCACAAGTCAGTTCGAGATCCCTCTCCCTTTCCCTCCCCTCCTCCCGTGTCCTCCCCCCATCCCCCCCCCCCCCCCGTTATCCCCTCATTCCCCCAGGGAGGGTGAGGCCCTCCATGGGGGTGTCCATAGTCTGTCATTTCATATAGGGCAGGGCCTAGATCCTTCCCCAAGAGTTCAGGGTGAGAGTGCACCTCACATTGTTCTATGGGAGTCCAGAGTCCGTGTGTATACTTGGGATGGGTACTGATCTGCTGTCCAAGGCTCAATAGATTACCTAGGCCTCCTCACTGACACCCAGATTCAGGGGGTCTTGATCAGTCCCATGCTGGATTCCCAGGCTGATGCCTGGGATTCAAGAGTTAACCTTTGTCTGGTCAGCTGTTTCTGGGGGTTAAACCAGCCCAGTCTTAATCCCTTTGATCATCAGTCCTCCCTCTCTGATACTGGATTTCTTGAGTTCAGCTCAGTGCTTAGCCGTGGGAGTCTGCCTCTTCTTCCATCAGCCACTAAATGAAGATTCTGTTTCCCAGACTCTCTGGCCATAGGATTGTAGGCTGACACTCCCCAGATCTATGTCTAAAATCCATATATGAGAGAGTACATGCCATGTTTCTCTTTTTGTGACTGGGTTACCTCACTCAGGATGGTTTCTTCTAGTGTCATCCATTTGCCTGCGAATCTCATGATTCCATTATTTTTTTCTGCTGAATAGTACTCCATTGTGTAGATGTACCACATTTTCTCTATCCACTCTTCGGGTGAGGGACATCTAGGTTGCTTCCAAGTTCTGGCTATTACAAATAAAGCTGCTATGAACATAGTGGAACAGACATCTTTGTTATATGAATGGGCATCTTTTGGATATATGCCTAAGAGTGGAGTTGCTGGGTCTTGTGGTAGGTTTATTCCCATTTTTCTGAGGAATCTCCATACTGCTTTCCAAAGTGGCTGAACCAGTTGGCACTCCCACCAGCAATGGAGGAGTGTCCCCCTTTCACCACATCCTCTCCAGCATAAATTGTCATTGGTGTTTTTGATTTTAGCCATTCTGACAGGAGTGAGATGGTATCTCAGAATTGCTTTGATTTGCATTTCCCGGATGGCTAAGGATGTTGAGCACTTTCTCAAGTGCCTCTCAGCCATTTTAGACTCCTCTATTGAAAACTCTCTATTTAGTTCTGCAGCCCACTTCTCCTTGTTTGCTTTAGACGGGGATGTAGGTCTCGGGGTGACTCTCATAAGTCAGGAGGAAAAAAAAAGACATCATTAATTTTGGCTGCCCTCCAACACAGTGAGTGATGTACCTTGATGTTGATATTCATAGCTCTCCTTTGTAGTGTTTTCAGTTTGCATCTGTATATATTTCTTAATTTTATACTCTGTCAAGATTGAAAGCCTGCCTTTGGAACCGTGTTTTTATTAATTGGACAGACATTTCTGAGCTTTGTTGTATTCCTTGTCAGGGCTTAGTGAGGATTTAGGACGTCAAGGAAAGGCAATTTCAAAGTCTTGTTTCTCCTAAAAAGAAAAGGTTTTTGTCTATGTTGTATTGATTTCCTAAAACAACAGCCATGATTGACTTTGCCAGGATTGATCAAAAGAGTCCTGTAAGCAAGTCTTAAGGTTGTGGAAAAACAGGACTAATAGGGCCACAGGCACCCTAAATACACTTACATTAAGAACCTATGTCTCCTCAGGGGCAAGAGGAAATTCCAGTTCAGCCAAGCTTTTAAATAGTATGTATTGTCACCCCTTTGTATTGGTGAAATTACATCCTAAATTTGACACTTTCCTTTAAAAGCATAAGTTGTTGGTTTTTGCATCTTATATGGGGATGGTTGTGAATTGTTTCAGGAAGCCTTATTTGTCTTGCACTGAGCTTTGTGTAAGAATCGGTTTGGATGATTTTTTTGTTTGTTTGTTTGGTTTTTTTTTTTTTGGTTTGGATGATTTTTATTGCAACTCATAATAAAACAAGATTTCAAATGGCTTAATTGCTAGAAGGAAATAATTATGTAACTAATCAATCAGACGTAGAGCCAGTTCTGAGGCAGGTGATTTTTCAGGCTTAATGAGGCCATTCCTTTTTCCTGTCCCGATCCTCAAGCAAGCATTCCTTGGATATGAGGTGACAGCTGGGACTCCAGGCAGCAGAAGGGATATCTCTCTTTTCAGAGATAAGGAAGCTCCTCCAGAAGGACCCTTTGCAGCCTTCCCACTGTCATTCCCTGTCTAGTATAGATCATAGTGGCTTTCTGCCCTCCCTCCCTCCCTCCATCCCTCCTCCCCTCTCTTTCTTTCTTTGTCAAGTTCTCATATAGTCTAGGTTCATCTTGAACTCGCTATGAAGCGATGACCTTGAACTACTGGTCTACCTGGCTATAACTCCTGAGTATTAGGATTATAGATAAATGTCATCACCACAGAAGTGGTGGTGAATCTTTGTTGACAACTTGACACAGCTTTCAAGAAATAACCTTGACACAGCTTTCAACAAATAACCTCAGCACAAGAGATAACCCCAATTAAAGAGTTGCTTTCATCAGTTTGGCCTGTAAGCATGTCTACAGGTGTAAGGATGAGGGTATTTGGAACATGGGGTAGCCTAATGTGGATGATGGTATCCTTGGGCAAGTAGACCTGGGATGTATTTAAAAAAGGAAAGAAAAGAAAACTCTCTGTGCAGAAGCATGAAGCAGGCCAGTAAGTAGCATTCATCCATGGTCTCTGCTTCAGTTTCTACTTTAACTTTTTGCCTTGTCTTCCCTCAATGATGGA